ACATAAACCTTCACTTTTTGAGGTTTAGGGTTTAGGGTTGAGGGTTGAGGGTTTAGGGTTTAGGGTTGAGGGTTGAGGGTTGAGGGTTGAGGGTTGAGGGTTGAGGGTTTAGGGTTTAGGGTTTAGGGTTTAGGAGCCGTGTCCGCTTAACCCAGAGCGGGAATTGATCATGCGACTCCGGGTTCCATGACTCGGATCATGCCAGAGGCGGCTGGCGTGCGTTCCGCACTACAGGGTGGGGCCCCCTTACTATACTAACTGTAGTTAAGGGACTTATAACCTAATTGAGGATCCTTATAACCCAATTTAGGGCTCTTATAACTCTACTTATAACTAGGGGGCCCCACCTTGTAGCTTCGGACCTCCACGTGGCTGGCCGCGGGCCACGCGTTCGGCGCACCAAGCGCCGGCGCATTGCGGCGACCAGCCCAGTTCAAGGATCCGAAACTCTTCAGCTGGAACCCAGGTCCACTTGGGAGTTTTCAAAGAATAAGGGACCCCGTTTATAATTACCCCAAATAGAAAAGAATCCCCTTAAAGGGACGCCCAGAAATGGGTACCCCCAGGGGGCGCACCTGCGAAGGACAGTTGCTTCACGTCAATGAAGTTCACCTAAACCCTAAACCCCAAATCCTAAACCCTAAACCCTAAGGCTTTTTGTTTGCTGAAGTTGAGGGTTTCGGGTTGAAGGGTTGGGGAGGGCTCGGAGTACAACGATTGTTATAATGTTTAGGGTTGAGGGTTTAGGTTTGGGGTTCGGGGTTTAGGGTTCAGGGTTTGAGGTCGAGGGTTTGGGGTTTGGAGCTTAGGGTTTAGGAGTGGTCGAGGGTTGAGAGCTCAAGGGTTTCAAGGGTGTATCATGTGTTCGGGCCCTGCAGCAGCTAAGGTATGCCAACGATCAGACGGCTAAGGTGACGTTCCACACGGACTTCAAGTGCAGCAGCTCCGCTCAAGCGGTGTCTTTAAGGTTTGGGTTTTGGGTTTGTTGTTTAGGGTTTAGGGTTTAATTAGGGTGCATAGCGCCTCTTATTGAGCATCGTGCGCCCGAAATCCTAAACCCTATACATCCTAGTTTGGACCTTGCACAGGGTGATGAAGAGCTGGCATCCAAAATGATTGAAAGGAAGGACAGAAATCTGCGATCTCTCTGCAGGGTCCGTGACATTACCACCCCACAACAGTTCGAAGAGACCGGCTAAACTTACAGGAACCTTAAGGGAGGGGGGGTTCAAGGGGGTATGCAACCCAAGGTTCCCTAATACTCCCTACTACTCCCTGAGGCTCCCTTAGCTTCCCTAAGGTTCTCTGGGTACCTACCCCCCTTGAACCCCCTTCCCTTCAGAACCCTACACCCTACACCCTACACCCTACACCCTACACCCTACACCCTACACCCTACACCCTACACCCTACACCCTAAACCCTAAACCCTAAACCCTAAACCCTAAACCCTAAACCCTAAACCCTAAACCCTAAACCCTAAACCCTAAACCCTAAACCCTAAACCTAAACCACCCCTTTTGCGGAGGGGGTTTCGGGTTTTGGGGAGGTCTGGAGGTGGACAAGATGAAGACCTGTGGCCAAGAGGCGCAGCCTTCCTCCAGTGGAGAGTTCCCGGGTCGGTTGGTTGAGGGTTTGGGGTTGATGTTCCGCACCCTAGAGTTCCGCACCCTAAACCCTAAACCCTAAACCCTAAACCCTAAACCCTGTTTTGCAGGGGCGGAATTACGACAGGGGCCCAAAAAGACGAATGGTTCATTCCTGGCCTGGAGCTCCGGAACCCTCAACCCTAAACCTAGGGGTTAGGGTTTAGGGTTTAGGGTCTAGGGTTTAGGGTTCAGGGTTTAGGGTTTCGGGGTTACTTGCTATGTGCCTCCTTGCAGATGGTGGATGTGGACGACGAGATGGTGCGGGGCCAAGAGCCTATGTTCATTTGTCCCCGACTGGGAGGTTCATGGTACTTAGTAACTTAGTAGGGTACTTAAGGGGCTTACATGTGGGTTATAGCTGCACTGTTAATGGGTTACTAAGTATATACCCTGAACCTCCGAGTACTCCTCATTTAGCGCTCTGCTCCACAAAGCTACCTGGTGTAGGGTTAAATTTCAGGGTACCCCAAGCAAGGTCTGAAGACCCAAAGACCTCCAGAACCCCCAGCCCAAGTTAAGGAATGAGGTGAGCACTCCGGTCAGAGTGCACGTGTGGCATAGCTTTTCGGGCTTGGGAGTTTTTTTATGGGCCACAGGGGTTGCGAGTGCACCCTTGCGCCCACCCAGCCTTCAAGTGGTTTTGGATCCCTCATCCCTCAGCCCTAAACTCTCAGCTCTTAACTCCAAACCCAAGGTGTTATACAGCCCCGAGAAAGGGATTCGGGTTGGTGATTTGCAGGAGCTGTGCCTTCTGAAGGTCCTTGAACTTTAGGGCTTAGAGCTTAGGGAGTAAGGGCTTGAGCGGTTTAGGATTCTGGGCTTCAGGCTTCCCACGAGACTTTGGGTTTTAGGGTTTTAGGGCTGCCACCCAAAGAACCAGCAAGTAAACACTAAACCCTAGACCCTAAGCCCCAAGCCCTAAACCCTGGGCCCCAAGCCCCAAGCCCCAAGCCCCAAGCCCCAAGCCCCAAGCCCCAAGCCCCAAGCCCCAAGCCCCAAGCCCCAAGCCCCAAGCCCCAAGCCCCAAGCCCCAAGCCCCAAGCCTAAACTGGGGGCGGCCAAGATTCCCAGCTGCTTCACGAACTACAGCGGTAACGAGCTTGGCTGCCTCCCAAATCAGGCCACCTAGACTGCAGCACGCACCCTACTTGGGTTTAGGGTTAGGGTTTAGGGTTTAGGGTTTAGGGTTTAGGTTTTAGGGTTTAGGGTTTAGGGTTTAGGGTTTAGGGTTTAGGGTTTAGGGTTTAGGGTTTAGGGTTTAGGGTTAGGGTCTAGGGTTTAGGGCTTAGGGTTTAGGGGTTCGGGTTTATGGCTTGGGGCTCCATTTACCTACCATTTTGGAGGGTATGCCCTCTATTTTGGGGGGGTTATAACCTACTATTTCGTAGGGTTTGGGAGTCACAGGTGCGGCTTCGGGTTTGGGTTTGGGGTTTAGGATTTTCCCCTGCTTGCTTCATCTTTGGAACCCAGGTTGCAGGAAAAGTGGGGGATGGTAGTGGTGTGAACAGAGCCCGAAACCTACTGGCCTTTGAAGGATTTCTAGGGCATCGGGCCCCACGCCTTATCTATGCCCTGCAACCCTTGGGTTGTGAAAGTATACCGGCCAAAGAGTCCCCAAGCAAGGGCTTAGGGGGGCTTTGGGGTGTTGAGGGTTTGGGGGGTTGGGATTGAGGCTTTTCCCCAAACCCAGCACCCAAGCACGAATCCCGTCGGGCGTACATGTTCTTCATCGTCATCTCCTGCAACCCTACCGCCTAGATACCTAAACCCCAAACCCCGGACCTGAAGGCCATAAACCTCCGAACTCTTAAACCTTCCCTAAACCCGAAGCCCTAAACCCTAAACCCTAAACCCTGAACCTTGAGCTCCTTAAGCCCGCCCCAAAGTAATCCCGGCTGCAGGTGCGCAAGACTGGCGAATGGCACCTTACACGCACTGGATACTGGTTGATGCAGGGAAGGGGTTGGGGTCCTTTGGGGGTTGTAATGGATAACTACTAATTGCTTAAGAACCCCAAAAAACAAAAAGTATTCTTCCTTATTAAGGGTGATATAGGGACGATTATCTTTATTCATTTTTGGGCTTCTTAAGCAAACAGTAGATCAGGATGTATGACCCCCAGCCCAGTTTGACTTGCTGTTGGGACCTGCAGTTTCGGGCGCTTGTGGATCGGTTCAGGATCCTGGCTTCCTAGAAGAGCAGAAGAAAACACAGGAACTAGGCAGTCATGGCTTCCGGGTGAAAACTTCCCACTACCAACGGAAGTCGGGTTTAACAAAACTTCCTCCCCACATTGGGTCTAAACCCCCCCTCCCTTACAACCTTTCTTCCGTAAGCCTTACAGGCCCTTGAACCCTTGCTGTGTGCCATGACATCATGTTTGTGTGCCGTGACCTAGCGGGCTCACGACTCCTATGCTTGCAACTGTCTTTTTCTGCCTCTGGCTTGCAACAACCTTACCCCCAGCTAAGGTGCGGGCACAACCTGTAGAACTTTACTAGCTTGGCCTTTTGGATAGTTGTCCCAAAATTGCGTAAATACATTATGTAGGCGTAGAATTAGAGTATAAGGGCTATAAACCCTAAACCCTAAACCCTAAACTCTAAGCATCTTCATGGAAGTAGACGTGGCGGCCCTGAAGCCCCACAACCCCAAACCACCCTTCGCCCCCAAGCAGAGCATTTTGCAAGCGCCATGGGACGGCATGCGGCCCTTCTGCTGCAGCTGCATTGCGACCTGCCCCAGGGGGCGGAGAGCCACGAGGCCGGATCGCAAATCTAGGGTTTCGGGTTTAGGGTTTAAGGTTTAGGGTTTAGGGTTTAGGGTTGATGTTTGGTTTGGGGTTGAGGGTTTAGGCTCCATTTCTCAGGGGGTTTGGGGTGTAATGTTTTGGGGGTCTCGGGTTTCGAGGGTTTTGGGGCATAGGGACTGCGAGCGCTTCGCGGGCTTTCGAGGTCCTTTCACACGTTCAGCCCTGCTAGAGCAGGCAAGGGTCCTGTGACACTAGCCCTACACCCGAAACCCGAAACCCGAAACCCGAAACCCGAAATCCGAAACCCCAACCCCAAAACCCATCAAGATGTCGGCAATTTTTGGAGTCCCCCGCTCAGAAGGAGGCAGCACGGTTCAGGGTTTAGGGCTTAGGAACACAAAAACAACTTGGGTTGCTCCAGAGTAGGCCCTTCTTCCACTTTTGGGTGGGGGGGGGGAAGGGCGGGGGCAGAGTGAATCTAGGTTCCCTTATACCCCCCCCTTGACCCTTGCTGCTCCTAGGTTACTCTAGGTTGCTAAGGAACTTATATTCAGTTACTAACACGAGGCCTGTGTAGTAGATAGTCAAGTACCCTTAGTATGGAAACTTAAGAATCCGAAACGCTTGAGCTGGATGTTTCCACTCTCAATCTGGACTTACAGAAATGTCCACATTCACACGTCCGTGGTGGAGCCATGCACTGTCGGGGATTGCCGAGTCTGCACTCCTCCCTTTCGGGTTACAATCCCCTATAAATCCGAAGACCACCTCCCGCAAACCTCTTCTCTGTTTTGGCAGATCAGTGGGGAACCCGGTTGGGGGGGGGGGGGGATGGGGTGGCGTGGGGGCTTCAGACGCCCCGCATACATAGGGCTTGAGAGGATTTGGACTTGGGTTTAGGGCCGAGGGCTTCGGAGAGTTTGTAATTGACCTTTTATCATCATGCAAGGGCCTCGCTGGCCGCGAGAAAGAACCTGCACCCGACGCCACCCGAACCGCAAAACCCAATGCCGCAGGACTTCCTCTTTGGCGCCGCGCAACT